CCTCCATCCCTCTTCCTTATCAACAACCCTCTCCCTGTGCCATCCCGAGACGGGTCGGTAGGGCGGGGCGGGAGTTTCGTCTGAGACTTCCTCGCCACTCATGATCCTGAACCTTGGAATTCGCAGCATATTCACGGAGGGAGAGCGGGCCGTGCTTGAAATGTGGCTCTCGCATTGATCAGCGCCGCGCGCATTATTTTCAAACGTGTGCGAGGGCTTCATGGGCGGAAAACTGTTCCTTTTCAAAATGTGGCTCGCGCCTGGGCGCCGCGTACAGGTGTCTCACAAGTTCGAAGGGTTTCGCAGATGGCGGGCGAGCCATTTTCAAAAATGTGACTCTCGCCCGAGCGCCGCACACATTTGGTTTAAAAGCGTGCATGTTACACGGGTGGCGGTTACGTTTCAACATGTGGCTGTCGCCTTAGCGCCGCGAACATTCGTTTTGACGATTGTGACGGTTGACGTCCAAGAACTTGTGTTTTGGCATCACGACTTTCAGAGCGCGACAGTCACGCTAATTCGCGGTGGCGGCGTAACAGCATTCTGGCACGATGTAGGGTCGTCAGGTCGCAACAGTGACGTTGATCCGAGGCGTTTAAGTCCCAGGTATGGTGTTTGGGCACGGTTGGGGATTTCCAAGCAGTTGTCTTCCAATGCGGCTCTCCCCGCAGTGAAGGTAATCCTTTGTAGGAGCCTGACAAGAGGAAGCTTGGAGGGAGGGGTCGTTGCAAAATCGTTGGTGGATGTTGTGTTTACACTGGTCCTCCTCCTCCTCCTCCTCCGTTCTCTGTTATTCCTCGTCCTCCATCCTCGTTTCTTTAGGGGGCTGCGCGAGAGAGCGAGGCACACCGCGCGCCGCACTGTGTGCGGCGCGCGGTGTGCCTCGCTCGAAGAAGAACCAAGTACATGAATTATCTCGAGGAGGAAGGCCCGAACCCAAGGCCCCTGAGAGAGGACAACGACCCTTTCCCCCCGACGCCGTGTTTTTTCACGCCGTGGACCCCTGAGGTTCTGGACCCCTTCCCCCAGGTCCACGTTTCATCCCGAGCTGCTTCTTGACGGTCCCAGCGACGAGGATGGGCCCCCAAGAGGCGAGGCTGACAATGGCCAGAAACAATCCATCGCCACTTTTTTTTAACGGAGGGGGCGGGGTTGCGGGCTATCCCTCGGGCCTCTGGTGGCAGTTCGGGACGACTCGGGCACCCCAAGAACGCTCTCGGCGAGGCGCAGCTGCAGGAAAACACCTTGAAAAGGGAGAACCTCCAAGAACCAACAAGGACGTCCTGAAACCTCCATCGACGTAGACGACGACGACCACGACGACGAAGACGACGACGACGAAGCCAGTGCCGACGACGACAACGGCAACGCATGACGACGACGACCATGACGACACGAAGACGACGACCACGCCGCTGGCGTCGACGACGACGACCACGACGACGAAGACAACGAAGAAGACGACGACGACGACGACGACGACGACGAAGACGAAGACGACGACGACGCCGACGACGACGACCAGGGAGCATCCCCGCACCCGCGGCCATTCAGTTTTCTGTCTACGGCACGAGGGGGACTGGCGGCAATGTGCCACCGAGGGGGGTTCAACAAGGACCCGCTCTTTGATCGGCTGCACGAAGGAGTGGCCCTGGGTAAGGAAGGGTGGCCTTTGGCAGGCGGCATTTGGGGGGGCCGCGGGGAGGCCAAGCCCGAGCGCGCCAGGCGCTGCTGCTTCCTCGCGTTGAGTCGCTTGGGCGCCCCAGTGTGCCCGCACCAAAAGTCACTCTGGCGACAGGTCAGCTCTTACGTCTACGTCTGGTCGATTTTATGTTTCGCGAAAACGCCCGTGACCTGCCTGGGCCCGACCCCCTCCCCCCTGCTTGCGCCGCCTGGGAACGAGCCCTTCCTCGGCGCGCGAATTGCGGCGTGACCAGCCCCCTCCCCCCCTCTCATCCCCTCCTGGGCACGCCCGTCATCGCTAGGGAATGAAAACTCTTCAGGGGGGGGGCACGATGGCTCAAAAAACCTCTCGGTCCTCGAGGCTCGATCCGCGAACCTCGACCCTCCAAGTTCGACCCCTCGCGGCGACCGAGGGAGACAACCCCGAGCCCGCTGCTCCTGGCGCTATCCGCTATCCGCGGGGATTAATGCATCACTACCGCGTGAAGCCACGAACCTTGGGGCATCGGCGGGCGGCGGACATGGACATCTCTGCCCGCCCGCACAGGGCCCGAACATGTCCACATCCGCCGCCTGCCGAGGTCCCCGCGGGTCGATTGCACACGCGGTGGTGGCTGGGGGGGGCGACAGGGGGGGGGGGCCACCTCACAGATGGGAAACCATCGAGCTCGAAGCGGCAATACCTCGCCGACGGCGAGAAGCCCCCGATGACGTGTCCAGACGCTCCTTGGAAGGGCAGGCTACCGGGCCCCTGTCAGACATGCGTGGACGATGTGGGCCGGTGAGGTTTCTTCCTGGGCCCGTGCGGCCCTAACGTCGCCCTGGGCTTTCGGGTCATCAGTCGGCGGCTCTCCTGTGGCCGCTCGGGATGATCCAGGCAACCCCGCAATGCCCTCGGCGAGGCGCAGCTGCTGGCACGCATCGCGAGGCAGGAAGAACTGAGGACCCACGAACCATGCCGAGAACCTGGGACCTTGAAAACTGACACCGCGAAAGCAAATCTTGCATCGCGTGCAGTCACGACTGGAGCCCTCGACCCCTCCTTGCTGCTGCGGTTCTTCGACCTGGATCGAGCTGCCATGGCCCGGGGGCCTGAAACTAGGCGATAACGCCCTGGGCCAAAAATAATAGCAGCGCCGAGATCCCAGGGAACCTCAAGATGCCTCGTCCATGAGAGAATCCCCGCCCTAGGCCGCTGCTCCGGCGCTGCCCGCAGGCCAGGATGACCCAATATCGAATCGGGCCATTTGAGTAGGGGATCAACTACAGAATCGATTCGCCCCAGAATTGGTTTGTCTTGTCGAATCCACGGGCAATTCGTAGAGCTTTCGCAGATCTACGAATTGTTGGCGTACTTTTGTTGAAGAGTCGACGTGAGATCAATTCTGGGGTAAATCAATTCTGCAGTCGATCCCCCAATCGGAAACTGGCATCGGCACTAATCGAAAGTCGCCGAATCGGCAGATCTCGGCAGGCAGATCGGCAGGCATCGAAAGATCGACGCCCGGCGGCCCGAGCCGAGGCCTGCACACGAAAAACCCACCAACGACCTCGGCACTCGGAGCCGAACCGAAGCAAAGTCGAGCATCTCGAAATCGAAGCGATTCGGTTCGAAAGAATCGAAACGCGATTCGCGATTCGCGATTCGATTCAGTAACTCCCGAGATCGAAGCGATTTGCGACTCGAGAGAATCGAAGCGGCTCTTGGCGGGGTGGGCCCGCGCGCGCCTGGCGTCGGCACGGGCGCCGCCCTCCGCGTGGCCGTGACCCTCCGGATGGCCTCATCGCCGAGGCCTCCGCGGGAGCCCCGGGCGCAGGGAACTGCCACGCGTGCCCCGCCCAGCGCGGGCGGCGTGCAAGGGTTACCCCGAGGGTGAAGCATATGGAGACTGCTGAGAGGGAATGGGATCTCGAGGGCCAGGCCGAAAGAACGCACAGGAACCCCATGAGCACAGCAGGGCCCAGAATTCACGAGGGCTCAGAGCCCTCCTGGGCCGTCTTGGGGACCTCCTTGGGACCTTCCGGACAGATGCGGCCCTCATCTGCCGCAGTCGATCCTCTTTTGCTAGCGAGCCGCGCACGCGTGGCCTTAGGCGTGGTAGGAACACACCGCCTGCGCTGCTTGGGAGGCGACCCAGAAATTAGGGGGTCTGCGAGGGGGATCAATAAAGGCGTCGTGCTGCCATATGGGGGAACCATGGATGAGGAACGAAGCACTTTTTCTGGCCACGGTGATAGCCTCGGCCACGAAGCAAGAACGGTCGAAAAGCAGAACCCCTACCGAGCTCAAAGCGGTTCTTAGTTCAGCGTTTTGACTGTAGGGAGCAGATGAGCAGATTGATCATCACCATTTCATCCATCGTCGTCGTCTGAGAGTGTGGCGTTTGGATACACCTCTGTGCTTCGAGTGCTTCGTGGGGCTTGCTGTCACGCCCCCGTGCTCTGAATGTCTCGTGTGGCGTTTGGCCGCACCTCGGTGCTTCGAATGCTCCGTCTGGCGTTTGGTCACGCTTATCGTCTCACCAGCGCGTCCACCGGGACGCGAGTCTTCTGCCCGTCTGCCTCTTCACGACTGCGAGGGGCTCGCCCAAAAGCGGGGCAGGCGCCGATGGATCGGCGACCACGGGCCCGCCGAGAGCCGAGTCGCACAGTCCTGGGCTGGGCGGGCCGGGACGCCCTCCCGCTCCGCCTCAGAAAGGCGCGGGCGGGCCGAGGACACCCTGTGACCGTGACTCCCTCCCGCCCTCCCCCCTCCACCTCCCCCCAGCTGCGTCTCCGCGCCGTCGACATTAATCAAAAAAGGTCCTCATGCTCGTCATCCTGCCCCTGCCCCTGCGATTGCCTCAGTGGGTTTGAAAAACAATCCCAAAGAGGCCTTCCAACTGAAAGAGGCCAACTCAAGATTCAGAGAAGCCACCTCCGGGTTCCGACCCACGGGCCCTCGGAGAGGAGGCCACCGAGATGCAAAAGCCACGTTTGCACACGCTGGCTGTGCGTGGACGTTTGAACCTTCCCCCCCCCTCGAGTGCGGACGATGGATTTTTTGTTGTTGTTTTTTTACGAGGAAGGGGACGACCGCGACGCACCACATGTACTCTCCACACCGCCTGCCAGGCACAAACAACTTGGGCTCACATATCAAGGCAAATGCATGTGTCACGGATTCGGTGCACGAACAGTAGCAAGTGCGGACGATGGATTTTCTCGTCATCGAGGCCGGCCCAAAGCCAGTTGCACTGCTGCTTCTGGGTGCGCCCGGCCTGCCAGTTCGAGAGCAGCACCTCCCATGTCGGCGACGTGCCGCCGCACTGCCACCCTCACCCTCGCACGCGAACCACCACCTTGCCTCTGGCGTGGCCTGCCTGCAGGTACGCAAACGCTGACTGCAGAGGAAGAAGACACGGCTTCAGCATACACGTCGGTCGGAAGAAGCAGGTAAAGTTATCGAGTAGGAAGGCGGGTGGAGTAGACTGGGCTCGGGCCTTCCCAGGGAGCAGCACAACACTACGAAGGCAGATCGGCTCTTGAAATATGAAGGCGCTTGAAGTAGGTTGGCATCTGAGAGTCCAGAAATACATACTTTCAACGACTGGCGTGTGCACTGTCGAGGCTCCACGTGAATCTCTTGGAACGCCGATGGTTCCCCTTCCCTGGCGCGCGAAGTGCGCCAGGGGCGGGGGACCATCGGCGCCAGGGGGGGGGGGGGCAGCGCGGATTAAAGAAATCCGCGCGGAGCTGCACAAGTTTATCTCGATATGCAATGTGTTCTCCCTCGTGATTGGATCTGCTCCAGGCTGAACTCGTACGATCTATCCACCACTGCCTTCAGTGCCCCCTCCTCCACCAGCCTGTCCAGCACGGCGAGCTCCGCCGCGTTGCCGCCTGGCTGCGTGTACTGGTGGTAGCCAGCTCCCCCGAGGGCCAGCAGACAATAGAGCTTCCTGGTCACGATTTGATACCCCCTCGTTAACAAATCCTGCAGATCGAGGGTCCGCTGCACGTCCCCCGTGATCGTGACGAATTGGCCACCAGGTGCCAACACTCCAGAGGCTGCTCCCTCCCATACCGACAAGCCTGCACCCACCGTGTCATATATGATGTCGAACGACGTGCCGGTTGCTCGCATCCGTTCGAATATGTCCTGGTCGCGATAGTTCAGCGCCTTATCAGCGCCGAGGGACTTGACCAGCGCCTCGTTGTGAGGCGAACATGTGGTGACTACGGAAGCGGCGCCATACGCCTTGGAAATCTGCAGAGCCATCATCCCCGTTGCGCTGCTGCCTCCGAGAACCAACACCTTCTGATGGCTCCCTCGACGCAACCCTCCGACTGTCACCAGCGAGGAAAAAGATGTGTGGGCAACAAGCGGCATTGCAGCCGCCTCTTGCGACGACATTCCCTCCGGCACAACGTTTATGACGCTCTCGTCCACAGCTAAGTACTCTGCCAGAGAACCAGTCTTATGCACCCATGCCATGCCATGAACTACGTCGCCGACTCTTATACGGGCGCAATCTTTTCCAACAGCACGCACAATTCCGGAGAAATCGAAGCCTGGCCGATGTGGCAACAAGAAATCAATAAGGAAAAACGCACCCTGTATAATTTTGTAGTCGACTGGGTTAATCGATGCATCATTGACCTCCACAACTACCTCCCACGAACGATAAGTCGGCACAGGCATATCGGACATCCGCAAAACGTCCGACACGGCTCCGTATTCCGCATGATGGACCGCTCGCATCGTGGATTTGCCGACGGCGGCAGCGCTGCTTTGTGCCTGATTGAGGTGGAAGAAATAGCCAATGGCAACGGCGCAGGCGGCCAACAACGCTGCGATGCGGCCCATATCACGTATGGCGGATCGGTCCTGAGGAAGAGCAATGGAAACTGGGAGAGGCGTGAGAAGGAGGGAGGTGTTTCCTTTGCGACCTGGGGAGGAGGGGGGACGAGAAGAGCTGAGCCACTGAGCCAATAAGTGTACGGTCGTCCCGAGCGGCATGCAATACTCATCCAGATTATGGACCGTCCACCGCGGCATTGCGGTCTTCAACTGCGGCACTCAGAGCTCGAATGTACAGTCGTCCACTGCAGCACTTGCCGCATCGGGGAGCATCCGGATCACACCTGTTCAGACCGCGTGTCGCTCTGTTTCGACATCGACGGGGGCGGCAATGAAGGGGTGAATGCAGGCGGCATCGAAGGGTGGCGTCAACCATTTTGAAATCAATGTTGTCTAGGGTTTTACTGTTCCATTCATTCTCCGCCGCCTCGTCCTCGCCCGCCTCCTTGACCCCCCCCCGCCATCCCGTTCCTCACTCATCCTCGCCCGTCCACTTGTTACCAACCATCCTGTGGTGTTGGGTCCTCGTTTTGAAAAGACAGCGCCCTGTGTCATCCTTCCTTCCCGCTGCCCCTTCCCCCTCTCCCCCCTCCTCCTATCCCAAGCACACGTCGGCAACCCCCCCACACTTTTCGTGGCCCCATCGGGAACTCCGCCGCAGGCCCCAGTGGATCGTTCGCACGACGTCACCGCAACGCCCCAGAGGCTGCATTCGCATGGCGTCGTCTCCGCACCCATGTCGGCACACACCTCACACGCTTCGTGGCCACGTAGGGGGCTCCGCCGAAGGCCCCAGTGGCTGCGTGCGCATGGCGTCGTCGCCGCACCCATTTCGGAACACCTCTCACACGCTTCGTGGCCCCGTGGGGTGGCTCCGCCGAAGACCCCAGTGGCTGCGTGCGCATGGAGTCACCGCGCCTAGTTCGGCACACCCCTCGCACGTTGCGTGGCCCCATCGGAAGCTCCACCGAAGGTCCTAGTGGCTGCGTTCGCATGGCGTCGCCGCACCCATTTCGGCACACCCCTAATACGCTTCGTGGCCCCATGGGGAGCTCCGCCGAAGAATGGCTGCATGCGCATGCCGTCACCGCGCCTATTTCAGCACACCCCTCGCACGTTGCGTGGCCCCATCGGAAGCTCCGCCGAAGGCCCCAGTGGCTGCGTTCGCATGGCGTCGCCGCACCCATTTCGGCACACCCCTCACACGCTTCGTGGTACCATGGGGAGCTCCGCCGAAAGGTGGCTGCGTTCGCGTGACGTCACCGCACCCATGCCGCACACCAAAGACGATACTCACAACTGCGTTACACGTAACTGCACATGGTTGGTTCGTTCGCCCCGGTACTTGTTTTTTTGGGGGAGGAGGCGCCCGCGTGCCTCGTCTTCCTTGTCCTTGTCCTCCTCACCCTCCCGCTCCCCGCCCAGAGTGAAGCCCAAGGAGACGCCGTCAACTATCCGCCACTGTGCCCTCGAGGCACGAGTTGGAGTGCCCTCAGGTCCTGGACCCGTCGGCCGGAGCCTCAGCTCTCCAGCCTGCAGAACACTTCGGGGGCCCAGACTTGAAACTCACGCATCTTCCGGGGCGCGTCGCGTGGCCCCGGGGGGTCCTGGCGTGCCCCCTGGGGCCCGGGGCGTCTTCCCGCACGACTTGTTCGGGGCCACGAAGGCCCCCAAGACGGGCCCAGAGGGTCCCGCGATGCCTCCAAGGCGCGGTCCAAGAGGGCCCCGAATCGCCAATCAATCGGTCCAAGTCGCGCAAGATGGCCTCCAGTGGGCGGAACAAGGGCCCAGGACGCCCCAAAAGGCCTCCCAGTAGGGCCCCAAGAGGCAAAACATCAGTGATGTCGCTTAGGTCTTCGAACGGCCTCAAAGGCCCCAAAGATCGCCGCAAGACGGCCCCAGATGCCTCCAAAAGGCCCCAAGACCGCCCCAGAGGGCCCGAAGACGGCCCAAGAGGCATCAAAGACTTCCCAAGACGGCCCCCAAGACGGTTCCAAGAAGGGTCCTAGACGGTGCACCCGAACGGACATTTCGAGCCCTCGGCCCCGGGAGGCCCCAGGAGGCCCCAAGAAGCCTCCAAGAGGCCCCCAAGAGGCCCCCAAGAGGGCGCCAAAGTCCCCACGAGACCCCCCGATAAGCCCCAAAGAGGCACAAATTATCTCCAGCCCCCCACCGGCTTCAAAACTGCCTCCAGGAGGCCCCCGAGAGGCCTCACACGGGTATAGATCACCGGGGGCCTTGGCTACCCTAGGCCCTACCCAAGGCCCTAGGCTTCCCAAGGGTAGGCCCTACCCAAGGCCCTAGGCTTCCCAAGGGTAGGCCCTACCCAAGGCCCTAGGCTTCCCAAGGGTAGGCCCTACCCAAGGCCCTAGGCTTCCCAAGGGTAGGCCCTACCCAAGGCCCTAGGCTTCCCAAGGGTAGGCCCTACCCAAGGCCCTAGGCTTCCCAAGGGGTAGCCCTAGGGTAGCCCTAGGGGTGGGCCCCAGGGGTAGCCCCAGGGTAGCCCTAGGGGTAGGCCCTAGGGGTAACCCTTTATTGCGGATTACAATATGATTCCTTTGGTCGGGCGGGCGGGCGGGACATTAATAGCATTGGTTGCCTTGGTGGCGGATTACATATATTGATTCCCTGTGTGGTGGATTATCAACTGATTATTCTTGTCGGGCGGGCGGGCGGGACACTAAAGGCATTGATTGCATGTGTGGCGGGTGGCACACTGATTCTTATTGTGGCAGATTACACATTGATTCCTTTTGTCGGGCGGGCGGGCGGGACATTAAAGGCAATGATTGCTTGTGTGGCGAATTACGAATGGATTCTCTTTTATTGCGGATTACAAACTGATTCCTTTGGTCGGGCGGGCGGGCGGGACATTAAAAGCATTGGTTGCTTTGGTGGCGGATTACAAAGTGATTCCATGTGGCAGCGGGTTACGAGTAGATTCCATTTGTGGCGGATTACAAGCTGATTCCTTTTGTCGGGCGGGCGGGCGGGACATTAATGGCATTGGTTGCTTGTGTGGCGGATGGCAAACTGATTCTTATCGTGGCAGATTACACATTGATTCCTTTTGTCTGGCGGGCGGGCGGGACATTCAAGGCAATGATTGCGTGTTTGGTGAATTGCGAATGGATTTCCTTTGGCAGCGGATTTTAAACTTATTCCTTTGGTCGGGCGCCTTTTGCCTGGCGGGCGGGCGGGACATTGAAGGCAATAATTGCTTGTGTGGTGAATTACAATTGGATTCCCTTTGGCAGCGGATTGCAAACTTATTCCTTTGGTCGGGCGGGCGGGCGGGACATTAAATGCATTGATTGCTTTCGTAACGGATTACAAAGTGATTCCATGTGGCAGCGGATTGCAAGTTGATTACTATTATGGCGGATTACAAGCTGATTCCCGGGCGGGCGGGCGGGACATTAAAGGCATTGCTTGCTTGTGTGGCGGATTACACAGACTGAAGGCCCTAGGCTTCCCAAGGATAGGCCCTACTGGACACCCTAGGGTAGCCCTAGGGTACCCCTAGGGGTAGGCCCCAGAGGTAGCCCTAGGGTAACCCTAGGGGTAGGCCCCAGAGGTAGCCCTAGGGTATCCCTAGGGGTAGGCCCTAGGGGTAACCCTAGGGTAGCCCTAGGGGTAGGCCCTAGGGGTAGCCCCAGGGTAGCCCTAGGGGTAGGCCCTAGGGTAGCCCTAGGGTAGCCCTAGGGGTAGGCCCTAGGGTAGCCCTAGGGTAGCCCTAGGGGTAGGCCCTAGGGGTAGCCCTAGGGTAGCCCTTCCTTGGGTGATCTATAAGCTCACACGAGATCCCAACGAACATCACAACCCAGGCGCGGTGGCGGGGTGGGCCGAAGGCCAGTAGATCCGCCGCCCCCTGTTGGCTTACCACAGGGGTGCCTGGCGTGCTAGACGCTACCAATTTTGGTTTTGTTTTTTTTCCACAAGGGCTCAGGCCCAGCCCGCCGGCCACCCAGAAGAGAGCACAAGGCCCATAAACGACCTCAACGTCCACAACAAATCGTTTGATGAATGCCTTTCCCACTCAAAGGTGGCCCTAGACGGCCTCCAAGACGGCTCAGATGGCCCGAGATGGCCTCCAAGTTCGCCCGATATGGTCCAAGACGGCCTCCACGATGGCCGAGGAGGGTCCAAGATGCCTCCGAGTCGGACCAAGAAGCCTCCAAGACGGCCCAAGAGGCCTCAAAGAGGCCTCCAAGACAGCCCAAGAGGCCTCCCTGAGGTCCTCAAGGAAGGCCCGACCAAAATCATGTATTTCCCCTGAGTTGTTGAAGGTTTTCGGTCTTTCCTTATTTTCGGCTGTCCGACGGCCCTAGACGACCACGGAGGCCCCAAGATCATCTCAAGATGGCCCTGACGGCCTCCAAGATGGCCCGAGAACGGCCCACGAGGCCCCCAAGACGGCCTCAAGACGGCCCCAAGACGGATCAAGAGGCCTCCAAGGTGCCCAAGATGGCCTCCACGATGGCCCTGGAACACCCCAAGAGGGCCCCAAGTCGGCCCAGAGAGGCCCCCAAAACGGTTTCCGACGGCGTCAGACGAGCCAAGAATGTCCTAAGACGGCCAACGAGGCTCCCGAAAAGCCTCCAAAGGCCCCCAGGAGGCCCCCAGGAAGCTCCCAGGAGGCCCAAGGAGGCCCCCAAGATGCATCCAAAGGGCTCCCAGGAAGCTCCAAGGAGGCCCCATGAGTGCCCTCAGAAGGTCGCAAGATGCCCCCTCGTCTTCGTCCTCATCCTCTTCATCCTCCTCCTCCTCCTCCTCCTCCTCGTCCTCCTCTTCTTCCTCCTCCTCCTCCTCTTCCTCCTCCTCGTGATCATCCCCGTCATCCTCCCCCGAGTGTTCCCCGCAGGGTTTTTTACAAAGGCTGGGGGAACACATGGCCCGATAGCTTGGCAGAGCTTTCGCCACAACGCTCGGCCACACTGGCGATTCCAAAGGCAGGGGGCAGCGGTGATTCGTTGTAGGCGTCTTCGATCCGCCGCCCCCTGTGGTCTTGTCGCAGGGGTGCCTGGCGTGCTGAGCCCTATGCGGTGTGGTCTCCGATATGAGCCCAATCTGGACCCAATCTGGCCTCCAAGATGCTTCCAACACGGCCAGCACAGCCCCAAGCTGGCCGTGGAAACCACCAAGACGGCCCAAGCTGGCTCCAAGATGCCTCCGAGTCCGCTAAAGAAGCCTCCAAG